AGTGTACTGAATGTCATTGAGTGACAGTAATGTCGATCCCATTGCCGAGTTTCTGTGCCTTTCGTTGAGGTGTTTTCTTACCTTAGGTGTAATGGTGTGACAGTTATTATGCATATATTAAATGTGTGATTGGAACCATTATTGAATGCTAATCTAGTGAGCTGTGCGATTTATGCTGTCGTATTTTTGCACTCCGCGTTGGGAGTCGATGCCATAGCAAGGCTATGGATGTACTGTATTGTTCTCGATCCGTGATTTTGACACAGACGGATTAGAAGAGTATAAATTATATTATTAGTCTTGAATCACCGATTGAGTTGAAACCTGTCTATTACCAACCGGACATAAGGTCAAAAAATGCTTCTGAGTTTGTTGTTGTCATCGCCTTTTAGTAGTAAACTAGGCTTAGGTTATATCTACAAGTCTTCATTTATTTGTATTTTTATCGACGCTTCTTTTGCTTGAGAATTGCTATTCAAACCGGTGCTCCATTCAGCAGATGTTTTTTGCTGTATACAAGGACCAAAGTGAAAGATTATTGGCCGCCGAACTCCTTTTAATCTCGAGCGAAAGTAACTTTGTTTCGTTACGTCATTTTCCCTCTAAGCAGAGGATAATGATTCTGCCGCTGAATCAAAACCGAGGAAGGCGTGAGAGATTCTGATGGCGACATGAAGAACGCGAGTGGCGGAAAAATGTCCTTTTTATCATTTGGATGGTGAAGACCTTGAAAATCCGGCAGTAGAGTTTTGGCATAATCTGTACACTATGTCGTCATCCTCCTTCAGAGTTATATTGAGCAGTCTGATTTAAATAGTTTCTTGATACCGTTTGTAAAACATGAGTAGTAAAGTTTTACTTAACAACCGACCCGTTTAAACTGCAGGACTGAATAAACAGCGATTCAATTAAAAATGGACCCAAAATAAAAAATCTTTTAAGAAATGTCATTATAATATTTCAAGAACTTTGATAACAGTGCCGGCGATAAAAGGGTGGAATAGTAGCATTCTCATTTTGTGCACATTCCTCCCACCATCTCTCTCTCTCTGAGGTATTCCTGTTGTTTTCTGACATCTGTGATTTACCTGTCTTTACCAGTCCTTTAGGCGTGATCAATTGCTGTATACCTCTTCTGTCATAGATTGAAGATAAAGCATGAAGTGTACAAATAGATTGGTATCGAGGATAATAGTAACAAACTATAAACTTACTGAAAGTAGGAAGTATGACTCTGTCGATGTTTGTTCCAGTTTTTGCTACTTCATGCTGTCTAGGAAATGTTGCGAGAATATGGTGGTGGCTGCATAATGAAGAGGAGTTTTAAAGGGAAAGATGATTCGCTGTACTGTGATATATTTTAGTTGTTCTTTTGTGAACCCAGTGATCTTTTACCTCCCAGTTCCCCTCTAAGGCTTTGCCTTCTGTGCCTCAAGGCCTCTGTTGAATGAGAATAATAATGTAATTATACTGTAGTCGACCGTTTGAGGTAACGTCAATCATTCTGACTAAGGACTAGTTTTGATTAACAGCTGATCGCTTCCTATAGGGTGCAAAGTCACCATTTTTAGGGAGTCATTATTGAAGATGCTTAAATTAGTCGTAGCAGGCGTATGACATATTGCTGAAATGTCGTAACCGTGTTGCATTGCATTTTATTACAAATGAATACACATACAAATTACAACGGAGAAAATGCACAGTATAAAGAAAAAAATCAATTTATCACTTTACACCAGCAGCTGTGTTGTATCGCCCCCTTGCTCTAGACGTATAGGGGGACCGTTTAAGCAGGCCACGGCTGTACGGTGTTTAAGCGCCTGCAGTATATAGGACGCAAGACCGCGCTTCACACTGGAGTTTAATAAAAGTATAATGAACCAACATTGCAGCGATCCGTTGGAGAACATTGGACAAGATATATAACGCCGATGTTCTTGGGGATCTTTCGATACCGCCGCTGAAGATATCACATTAAAATACTGATACAGGATTAAGACGGCAAAGCTGTTGTGTGAAGGAAAAAAGTCTATTACTTACTTTGCACCGACGCTGTGATAGTGCAAGAAAGATGGAAGTTTTACACCGAACTGTGTAGCAAAGTAGCACCCCAGTGTTCTGGAAGAGCTTTCGATACCGCCGTTAAATATGTTACACTAAAAATAATGATACCGGATTGAAACAGCGAAAATTCGCAGTATAAAAAAGGAAAAATCTGTTTCTCTCTTTACACCAGAAGCTCTCCTGCACCGCCCGTCTAGGTACTTCTGGACGCCTAGGAGGACCATTTAACCAGGTTATGGATCCATGGTATTTAAGAGCCTGCAGTACATAGGATGCAGGGCCGCGTCTCAAACATATGTTGAGCAAAAGCATGTTCAACCAAGGAACATTGCCATGATCCGTAGGCGAACGAGTGATTAAATAGGACCCCGATGTTCTGGGAGAGCTTTCGATATGGCTGCTGAATACGTCACGTTAAAAATAATGATACCGCCTTGAAACGGATTGTACCGCAATATTGCGCCACCCCGTTGCTTCTAGTGCAGTTTTGCGATATGATATGTAAGACTTCCACGTAAGACTAACGCAGTGTGGGTATAAAGTAAGAAATAGATTTTTCTTTCTTTACACAGCACACTTTTGCTGTTGTAATGCGGTGTGTATTCATTTGTAATGTGATATCGACCGGCGTTATCGTTAGCCCACACTTGTGGAAGCTACCCTAGAACATATTTTGTCATATGTTACGGACGTATAGGGTCATCTTTTGTCATTATTCGTGTTTCGCTTTATCTTTCATTTTTGAAATTTTACTTGTTTATCATTCTCACCAGTTTATCATTCACACCAGTTTGGCGACAACTTCAGCATGTAAACAAACCAACTCATTAAGTGATTAATACACGTCACCTCCATATCTAAAGGTTAACTCAATAATCGCCTCACCCTTTTACTTGTAGAGGCTTCAGGGATCATTACGACAGGCCGAACCTGCTTGAAGTTATACGGTAAGGCCGTTACCTGTTTAAACGATTCTTTCGACTTTTGAAAATCAGTGGATAAATGCAATCGCACTGCGTAAGTCCAGCAAAGGGACAAATATTTTGTTGTTTTTATGAGCAGTGGTAAATACTAACTTTTTCAGTAAACCCAGTTGTTTTTTGGTTATTAATATGTATCACTAACTGTCAAAGCCATTATAATCACTCACCGTTATTGGCATGATACACAACATTGATCCTGAAAGTTATGTAAAACATTTTCGACAGCTTTAGGTCTCCCTGTAATCCATAATCCTTTAGCAGAAATGATATAAATGATGTGGCGGTTCAGCCAAGCATTGTTATCATTAACAATGATTTCATACCTTAAAATCATGCGTCGATGGAAATTGTTTGATTTTTCGATATTCTTCTGCATCGTTTTTATGATATGCGTCTACAAATTTCCATTTTTCCAAGAGTGAAATTGAGTCACAGAAAATGTACATTGTTTTTACTTGTTCTTTTCCGGTTACGAATCGGCTTCCTTTGTTTTAAGCCACCATATCACGTGCTGAAAAAACTTTTCAAGAAATGACCTGTACTACGAACTTCTTGCAAAGTCTCTCATCCCTAATTATGGGGAGGGGGTACAATAATTGCGCTGTTTTAAAAATTGATTCCTTACTGAGTTCAAAATATGTTCTTAATAAATTGTGGTTGACATGCAAATGCGGTTATTGTAAAATGTTACAGATCGATTCTTGTGATGACCTGACGCAGATCGTCGTTAACTCGGTGCGGGAGCTGAACTGCGTCGATGGTGTTAACCTGCGAAACCTGGAAGCGTACATTCGGCGGACGTATGACGTTCGTTTCAGTTCGAAAAGCGTCGACCTCCGATGCCTGCTTCGGGCTAGTGCCAAGAGCGCCTGCCTTCAGGGTTTGCTGACCAACGTCAGTCTAAACACTTATGCCCTCGGCCCCCATGCGACGGATGCCCGAGCATCGGGCAGCTGCAGCAGAAGTATCTCCGGTGTCTGTCGTAACAATGTCTCCTCGCCATCGTCGTCACGCAGAATATTGGCCAGAAAAGTTAGCATTTTCCATTGTTATTGAATATACATGTGTGTTTGTTTGCATTGTTAGAAATGTTTTTACAGTAGTTTATTTTCAAGTTATGGTTTAAGATTGAAGTAAGTTAATCAAAGAAGATATAATTATACTTGGTTTATATCTCAGACAATACGCTGAAAAGAAACTGCTGTTATTAAATGGAAAGCGAATCAGATACGGGTTTCAGAGCTCTTCCGCACTTCTTAGAATAAACTGGCAAGAACTTCGAAATATGGAAATACACCCGCGTCTTGGACAACCGTGATATTTCAGGAAATCATGTGAAAAATAACTGTTGATGTGGAGTAATTTTGGGAGACATGACTAGACCCAAATTCGCAGCTTAGTGAAGTGCGTTATAATGATGTTTTACTGCAACTCGTGAGCAGCGCATTTGATGCCTGCTTAGCAGACTGAATAAATCTTGCTGAGCTTGGAGGTTATTATTATTTCATTATTATTATATATCACGTTTTAGAAAATTTATGTTCACTTGATGGTTACGTATCTCACCTTCTGTACATTATTTCTCAGTTTCGGTGATATCTGAAACATCGTTCTCTAAGTCAGTCGTTCTACTCATCTCTGGTTCTATCTCCAGTGATCTAGTTAGAAAGTGTTCCTGTTGGCCATAAACTGCTGTTGTAATCAAGGGGTTCTCCAATTCGTTCAGTTATTCATAGCCAAGGCTCTTAATAATTAATTGTTAGCAACTGCTTTTTCGCATGAAGCGTCCAAAAGCAACTTTTAATTATCCGTCATTTTGGACTCGGTTAATACTCATTCGTACAGAATTACATCGCCGGCTTAAATTGCGCATTTTTCTTCCGACTCTCAGGCGACCGGGAGAGCATAGACTGCTAATTGCAAATAGCCTGTTCATGCAACAG